GAACAAAATAATACATTTAATTTTCTAAGCAAATGAATCGTTACATTTTTATTTTTTATTAATACGTATATTGATTAAAAGCAGTCATATCACTATAAAAAAAGACATCATTTTTTAAAGGGCATGCAGAAGAAAAGTATGCAATAATTATCTATTGTATCCAATAAACGTAAAAGCTAAATACGCGAGAGAAAATGGAATGTTAAAATTTTTATACTTGAACATCCATGAAGCTATTTTTATTTTCCATTATCATTTTTGTCGCTTGTGCTTTTAACTAATTGTCTTAATAATTTCTATAATGAAATTCGATATATTGATTTGGTATCGAGTGGAAGTTGGTTTATGCGACGTCTTGCAGCTTTCGATTAACCCAAGACTACATGTTCTGAGTAGCATTATCTTTTTAATTAATCTCTTACTCATCTATTTCGCAGGAAGTTAAAGTAATGAAGTAAAATGAAATGCAGGGACACGGCAGAATCAATGAAAACTCGAGCACAGTACTGAAATAAAAAAAAAAAAGAAAAAGAAACATCAGCCAAAGTGGGCAACATAAAGGCAAACGAAGAATAATTGCAAGGCAAAAATAATAATCTGCAACGGAAAGGAGATTAACTGTCGATAAAAAATTATATCGTTTAGAGAAGCCTCAGATTACTAAAGTGTCATCGCAATATAATGCGGCGGGATTCATTTTTAATGTATATGTGAATGATATATGAATGACAATGAGAATGTATCACGGCGACAAATAGATTCTAATGAACTGACGATATAAATCGGGAGAATCGAGAATATTTAAAGACTATTGAATAGACAAGAAGGCGAAATAAGATGTTCACAAAGGAAAAGTAAAGAATCTACTGTTCTAAATATAAGATGGCTATATTAAATACGAAAAGTCAATAATACTAGGTGAGATATTTATATGAATGATTGCGAATGCATGCAAATGAATGATTTGTACGGGCACTTTAATAAAAGTAACCGAACTCCTTGTAAATTAACTAAAAGAAAGGAGCCCGGTTATGCCCAATTATTGTCTCTTTGGCCTTACAGTGAAATTTGTCTTGACTCGCGACATACACCAAGATTACAAAGAATTTTGGTAAATCCCGCCGCTAAATCAGTAGCCTTGTATCGTCACTGGCTTCTATATAAGATTAATGAGACAATCAAAAGATGCAAGTTGTATGCCGTTTATCGACGAATCTACTAAACGCTTTGGAATTACGAAAACACTCAGTTTCAATTTTATGAATATGTCAAAATGATAAAGCTTCTATAATTCAATATATAACTATATTGCTGTGACTATATATATTTTAAATAATTTATTTTAATGTTAATTTTTTTTATAGAACTGTAAATGTTCTATCTAAAATATTAAAAATATTTTTTTTACTCAAAATTGGCCGTTCAACATTCGCAAGGATAACAAAAATATAATAAATTCCCAAGTCAGCAACTATAGTATTCAGCGAAAAGCTATATTATTCATCAAAATCGAATTTCGTTTACAAACGTTTGTACACTCCTTAAAATAATTATGTGCAGTCGCTATTTCGCAAATACAAAGCTCGATTAGATTCGTCGGTAATGGTCATCTTTTGATCAACTACTCTCACTCACCATGGGGCTCTTGGGCCTCTGATAATGGGGCCTTCAGCCAGCCCCCTTTCCCGCCCCCTTTGATCATCACTTTGGGCCCGATACCATCTTTATTAGTCATTTCCTTAGTAGTGTCGGGATTCTCGAGTTTCTGATTCTGTGTACTCGCAGGGGATTCTGACCTCTGCTGCTCCGCGCTTGCCACTGGAATTTTTATTACAAGAAACCCACTCTACGTATCTCTCTTTTTCTAATTTTGTACACAATAACGCAGGAAGATACACGTACGACTGTGCTAAGCGCAATATCATCTTAGAGCCCTTACGAAACTCTACCGAGTCGTCCACTTCTTACGTTCCTTACGCTTTTATATCGATTCACATACCAGCCGACACGTCGTCCGGTTCATCAAGTACAATCGTGATTGCGCAATTGCGTTACGTGCGATTCGCGATCATGATTATCTCGGCCAATTCCGTCCGCGTTTCTATTTACCATTCATAGCTCCACGTCGTATTTTCATTCGTGCGACGTACGAGATCAATACCTCCGCCACGTTGACCGTTTCTCCGCGGAATCAAAATACCACCTCCGGCGTTGAACCCTCATTTTGAGTTTCATAGACATGTGCGTAAAACGATATAATAGATATCGCGTAATTAGCGCCCATGCATTTTTCGTCGTCCAAGTCGGCGTTTCCTCGATGAGCGCGTTCGGAAAAGCGCGCGGAACAAAAGGTGGCGATCGACCGGCCATCATAAACAGAATAAAAATTCATTACAATCGACCGGACTACTTTCGCCATCGTCTAATTATGCCGTTCATCCATGTAACGCGGTCCGTATGCGAATATTCCGCCGGCCGGCACAGGCTGAAACCGATTTCTCTATAAAGCCCTTTTTCTTCGATTCCCGTTCGTCCCTTCGTTTCCCGCTTACAGTCACACGCGGACACACCCGGGTGCGATAGCGCTCGTAGTGCGTGTGTATCGACTTCCGCGAAAGACAAAGGAGAAAATGTATATTCTTTTTTTTTTTACCTGAAAATTCGAGGTACCTCGGAGGAGCAAGATTGAGAGAGAGAGAGAGAGAGAGAGAGAGAGAGAGAGAGAGAGAATGCAAGAGAATAACGAAAAGGGAAGAGAACCCAATTCGGAGCAAATACCGCTGGACGAACGCATATACGTGGATGACGATGCCGTTATATACATACACATACATATATATACTATATACATATATAAACATTTATATATATATATAT